GTACGTTTTATTTTTCCATCGAGGCATAGATATTTGGCCGGTGAATTTGGAGGAATGTGACGTTCCGTGGGGTGGTTCAGATCGTTAAAAACGAGGGTGTTTCTTTTCTTCCTATCACTGTTTGCGGGAGAGAATTACTCACAGCTCTTCGCACCCGGGCGCGTGCCGAGTGGGTGGCTGGTTGTAACCTCGCTATTGGGAGGAGGAGTTGCTGAAGAAAGGAAGCGATGCATTGCAGAGTTGAATGAGAAAGCAACAGAAGTGCTTGCTGTTTTTTTTAAGATAATGGATTCTGTATTTGCTGTTTCTTCTACCTTTTCGTCTTGGTTAATACTTTCTAGAAAGGCAAAAACAGATGTTAAGCTTTATGCATCTAAATACTACTGCCTATGGAATACTTGACTGGTCCCTCCCATAAATTCACTACCCTGAGGCAAGTAACTAAATAATTTGAAGCTCTGGAGGTAGAGTTCCTGGGTTGTTTGTACTTCTCTAGGAGATGAAGAGCCGATTAACAGCAAGCTGCCTGGGTCACTGAGGAGAGAGGAGTGGAGAGACCGCGATACCGGAAGGGGAGGTGCAGTTTATTCCTCTTGCTTGTCTGCGCTGTCAGTCCTCAGATGCAGATCCTTCATTTATTCTGCAAGTCTGTGATAAGAACCAATTTCATGTCCCTGGCTGCAGGGCCTCATACAGTCAATGGTTCTCAAGATTTAAATACTTAGTGATATCCAAAGATAAGCAGGGCCAATTTTAGCTATGTTCCAAAGAACTTTTTTTAATCTGCAATTTAAAACAACAAAAACTTACTCATCAGCTAAACCTATTCTGTTATCCTAAAAATGAAATCATTCCCTCAACTTATCACCTCGAACCTTCCTGATCCTGGAATCACAACCTTGCTAAGCTCTGACCAGCATCCAGTCTCAGCCCAAGGACAGAGTAGGTGGTGTGAACTGGGCTCCTGGAACTGCCCTATCCCTGGTGCCCCAGGAGCCCATTCACTGCTCCTCAGAAAGAACTCTTGTTTCCTAATAATTCCATACCAACCTTGCAGGAGCTGGTCTCTTTGTTCTGCACTGTGTCTCAAATTCTCATAGTTATATAACTTTGCAGGGAACCTTGAATCTTGGTAAGCAGTACATATGGTGTCTCCTACTTACTGCTATCCTTGTCTGATCATTAGGCTGATTATCTGGCTGCAGATAGACTTCTCAGGCACTTAGAAAAGAAGAATTAGGAGGAGGCAATTGGTCTATTACAGGAGAGGGCAGGCTTGGAGGCTTCACCTGTCTCACTCAGGCGTGTACCGAGTGGGTGGCTGGTCATCAAGCCGGTAACTCTACTGTGGCTTTTTGACCTGCTCTTAACTTCTGAGCCATCCTAGCTCCCTAAGTGTAGTTTATCTTACTATGGTTAGCCCCAGAATGCTATTAAAAAGAATACACTGAAAGTTAAATTCATCTGAGAATATTATGGTTGCATCAACGTTGGACGTTTCCATAGGACTAGAGACCATCAAAATGATCCTACCCTAAAACAATGCTTAAAATACCAAGCTGATGAGTACTTATGTATTCTGAAGCATAATTAAAATAATTCAAAATATAGACTCGGATGATGTCAGACATCTTAGCCACTCCAGAGCTGCAGTGACTGTCACTAACAAAAATAAGACCAAAGGAATTAGGATGTCTGCAGTTCTGCCAGGAGCAGTGAGCCCTCTTCTAGGCACAGGTGGCTCTCCAAACTTAATGAAAGCCTGCTGGGCTTGGAGAGAACACATGTGTAGACCCAGACACACCACGCAATCGGCAAGGTATTGACACAGGCCCTGTCTTCTGGGATCATACAGTCTTTGGAGGGTTTTAAGTAGGGAAGATTTCTGTTCTAGACAGTTCATTCTGGCTGCAATGAGAAGAATGGAATTGGTAAAAATACCAGCAAGATCAAAGGCAGCTGCTGCAGAAATCCACGTAAGAGGAAGAAGTGAGTCGATTCAAAAGATAGTTAGAGAAGCAAAGGTATTTACAACTTCAGTTGTAAAGAAACTGTTAGGCAACTCCAGTGTTTGATGTCACATTCCATGTCATTTCAAAATACATTTTCCCCAGGTAGATAACCATGAGCCACAGTTGTCAGTGCAATTCTCTTTCCACTGATTACACTTACTATAGAGCTACACATCGTTCATTTCTGTTGCAAAAACAAACTTCTTTTGATAAAAGAAGCCGCTGATAGTTACATTTTCAACAATCTGTTGCTTCATTATGTAGACTTAAGTAGTTGGCTATTCAAAAAGAATAGTACCTATTATCTCAAAAGGTCCTTGAATCATTTATGTAACATAGGTAATATTCCCATTGTGCAAGAGAAATTATTTGCTCTAGGTTGCAAAGCTAACACCCGGTAAAGCTAAGGTTCAGATCTTGTGTGTGTGTGTCTGTACGTCTCCAAAAACTACCCCCAACACACATTAAACCAATAGGCGTTGCAGCTCAAAGTGGGATCCATGTCCCCACAGTGTCATTGGCGACAAGAGCTTGTTGGAAATGCAGTCATCTCCAACTTCTTGTCTACTGAATCAAAATCTGTATTGTAACATCCCCCACCAGTACATAGCTATGGGGAAGTCTGAGAAGTCCTGCGCTGAAGGGAGCTCCAGGACAATGACTTGCATTAACATAGACAAAAAAGGGGGGGCGGGGGCAGAAGGCTTTCTAAGCAGAGAGACCAGCCAGACCACAGGCCCTGAACCTGGAATCAGCTCCACAGGTCCGAGAGCAAACGGAGGGTTTCCCAGAGTGGAGGGAAGCAGCACGGGATGGATGGTATCATGTGGACCCTGATGCAGGCTGGCTCTTAGGGAAGCTAGGGGGAGACAGATGGTATCCTGTGGATCCTCATGTAGGCTGCTAGTTCAGGAAGCACAAAAGGAACTCACCGAGGATGGCTGCAAGAGGACAGGCACTGGCCACAGGCACCCCAGGTGTGAGGTTTCACCGTCGTCTAGGTGTGCTGTGAGCACAGCCCAAACTAAAGTAGGAATGAGGAAGTGGAAGGAAAAGGTCCAACCTGAAAGTCATCTCAAAACATCCCATGGATTTAGTGGCAGCTTAGAGTCTAAGGGGGAAAAAAAGGAAGTGAGGTTGGTTCTGGGCTGCCACATTTTCAATTGCGTTTCCCGCACTCTGGTGGGAATATTATCTTTGCATTCCTTACTGCTGAAAAAGAACACCTTCTGGTAATGGTGGCCTTGTTTGTTTTAAGGCAGGTGCTCTCCTCCTCTGAGTTATGGCAGTTTTTTGCCTGTTGCTAAGAGGCAATTCAAAATTTAGATTCAAAATCTACATGTCCATGTAAATAGTGGGGAAGGTTTTGGCGGGCAGGGCACAAGCAATTATTTAGGCTCCAGTAATTATTCGTGTAGCTCTTGAGGTTATCAGACCTTCCCAGCTCTCTTGTGATGGCTATTTAGGTACTGCATTATTATGCCCATTCCCCAGCCAAGGACACTGAGACTTGGAGATGTAACCCTGCCATAATCTGAACCCAGTCCACCATCTCCAAGTCCAGCCTTTTCTCTGTGTTCCCTAAAACGCTCTGAGAATTTCTGTTTTATTTTGCGGGTGAGATGATCAAACCAGTAAGTCTTTGATTTCTTCTTGTATATACACTAAGCCAAACTC